ATATGTGTAAATAAGCTCTTGCTATGTAAAACCAAAACCCATATAGATAGCTCATACTTTCAGGTAATGCACCCACCTGTAATAACAACCGAACTTGGAAAATCTCAACAAAGTGTAGTGCCTTTTCAAATTCCTTACTGACATGAAGGATATGTCTGGAGCCCCCAACACAAGAGAGTCATGGATCAGTTAGAACGAGTCCAGAGGAGGCCACGAGGATGATGCGAGGGCTGGAGTACCTCTGCTGTGAGGACAGGCTGAGAGAGTTGGGGCTGTTCAGCCTGGAGAAGAGAAGGCTCCAGGGAGATCTCATAGCGGCCTCCCAGTACCTGAAGGGGCTACAAGAAAGCTGGGGAGGGACTTTTCATAAGGGCAGTTAATGACAGAACAAGGGGAAATGGGTTTAAACTGGAAGAGGGCAGGTTTAGATTAGATATTGGGAAGAAGTTCTGGGCTGTGAGGGTGGCGAGATACTGTCGCAGGTTGCCCAGAGAAGCTGTGGCTGCTCCTCCCTGGAAGTGTTCAAGGCCAGGCTGGATGAGGCTTTGAGCAACCTGGTCTAGTGGAAGGTGTCCCTGCTGATGGCAGGGGGGTTGGAACTGGATGAGCTTTAAGGTCCCTTCCAACCCAAACCATTCTATGATTCTATATGTCAGTAATTCTGTACAGAAAGAGTTTTTATCTGTAGATGTGAGTGTATATGATCTCCATAAATGTGAGTGATCACTGTGACTTTTCTTTCTTTAAAAATACTTGATGTAATTCTTACCCTGTTATGCAGTGTAGTGCACTAAAACGACTCCCTGTAAAAGTTGAGTTTGCTGTAAGAGTAGGGTTTTCCTCAAATAAACCAGCCCCCTTGCTCAGGGCCTCATTTTATAGCATGCAGCCTGTATTGGGAAGAAAAAGAAAACAGCACTTCTCATACATGGCAGAAGCAGTCCTACCAGCAGTAAACAAACAGGGAAAATTAGCCAAACACTGTCAAGGCTGTTGCAACAGTCTCACAGTAACTGCTTTAAGAGACCTTTGAATGTCTCACTGGATCTGAAATGGGCTAACTGCTTGAGGGGTTGGGTTTGGTTTTTTTTTGGGGGGACACACACACACGCACACAGTTTTGCGCTAATTTTTCAAACCCCTTTGGGTCAATCACTGATGGAACACTCTTGCTTCTGAAGAATGGTGAAAGCCCTCAATTAAAACCAGAAGGCAAGTTAGACTTCCTATCTGAATTTGAAGACGGTCACAAGAATACATATTAAAAGTCTTTGTTTTGAAATACATTGGCCACTTCTAATGGACCTTGCATCTTGCTGGAAATAACCAAATAACTGGGAAGGAGCAGGAAGAAGGACCTTTTCAGAGTTACCAGGTAACAATATGATTTATATTGCATTTTTTTTCATCCCTGCATCCTCTTTTGGCTATGGTAATAGTGTTCCCTCAAATATAAAGAAGTTTTTCCCTCATTTTTCCATGAAGGGTTGTGAAGCAACATGTCTTGGGGGAGAGCAGGAACACGGAGCTTGCTGTATATATCTAGGAGGTAAGAACTTCTTTCCCTCACCCTGCCTTTTGCTAAAGAAACACACCAAGCTCAGTTTCTTCGGTTTTCCTCTGAGTTATTGAGTTAATTTAAAACTTTGTAAAGCAGCAGTTATAGGAGACTATTATCTAGCTCTGGGGACTGAAGCTGTTGTTGGCACAGCAGCCTCAGCCACTGTTCTGTGCTTCACCCACGGGCACCAGTGAGTACCTTTACTACAGACAGCAGTGTGCCTGCTTTACTAACCAGTTACTCTGCACCTTGCTGCCAGCTGAGGCTGTTCTTGGGCAGTGGTCACCCATCTGCTACGAGTTAAACTTTATTTTAGAAGCTGATAGTTCTAGCTACTGATCCCACATTTTAAATGTAGAACACTCTTACTGCCCTGAGCTAATCACTACTCCCACCTTCCACTAGCATCAGTGTCCTGCTTTCTGTCTCTTGCACAATTTTCAGTTGTGCTTCTAGTGGAAGTGGTGCTGTTTGTGCAGCAGAAGTCTTACATGTCCAGCAATGGTGCTGGATTGTCTAGAGCATAACTTTTCTGGGAAGGACCTGTTAAAAACATGTCATTCTGCTCACAGCAGTGGAGTCCTGAATCTGGCAACACGTCCTTCCCTCGGTGGTGTCGCTAGGGTGGCACTTCTGTACAGTTCAGGCAGCATACTGACTACAAAATATTTAAGCTAGATATCATAATATATAGAAAATAATTGTAGAAGACAAAAATTTAGAACTTAAGCATTTGTTGCTTGCAAAATGAATGTATCAACTTTTCAAATTCTAAATCTACTTTTTAAAATACGTTCTTCTTCCACCCTTTGATGTGAGAAATCCTCACAGTAGAGGGAATGGCCCTTGACAATAGAGGACAAAATGCTGTGTGCTTAAGAGCTTCTAAAGCACCAAGTTTGCATGTAGTAGTCTAGTTCCTTGTATAGAAATGTTGCTGCACAGCTCCCACTTTGGTTTTAGAGGTTGTACTTTGACTGCAAATTGTTTCAGAAGTTTAAATCCCATCTTATAAATGAATTTGAGGTTGAAGGAAGCTTCTTCCTTTTAGTCAAGGATTATACTAGGACTTACTAGAGTGAAGGAAGATATTGAAAAGCCCGTGTGAAGCAGAACTTTGCTCTTCTGTACTAGAACAGTGCAAATCCAAGTTATGCCCAAGGTTGCTGTTTTCAGGAATTGCAAACTAGCATTCCTTTGGAAAGTTGCATCCCAGTTGCAGTTGACAGTACACCATCTGCAGCAAGCTTTCAAGAACAAGAACTGGGTGGTGAGCCAAGAAAGGTAATGCAGCCTTCCTTCTAGTAAGCTTTCTTTAACTCATTGCTGCTTGCAGGCACTTCCAGGAACTCGGTCGTGTTTCTGTTCTCACTTTCTTTCAAAGCGATAGAGTGCCCTCGAGTGGCTCAACTGTGCAACTTGTCCCCATACAATTTACAGATACAATTGAGTTACCTTCCAAGTTCCTCCTCCAGATTAACTAAAATAGACTAACTTCGCAGGATTAGTTAAGAGAATAAAATCTTTAGTTAAAAACAATCAACCTTCAGGAAAAAGAGCCTTAACTGTAGCTGGAAAAGTAGTGTTCTGAGCCAGTTCATGTTTAGGTTATGTTGAAGACTATTTTAAGGCTCTAATGTTCAAAACAGGTTTTTACTTTTTTAATAAAAAAATCTGCAAACACAAGCATTTACCTGTAGTTTAATACTTATATACTGATGGATAGCACCTAGAGGCCCCGACCAACATTTGAGCCCCCTCAATGTCTCTGCCCCAAAGAGCTTACAGTCTAGAGCAGTCAAGAAGTAGGAGAAAATAATAACCATGCTTTCTTTTATAGATTAGTAACTCCGATCCAAAACAGGTCCAGTGATTTACCTGCTCTAAGGCACAGAATGTGTGGTGGGAATTAAACCAACATCTCTTGAGTCTCTGCTGCATGTCTTAGTTAAAAGATGCTCCTTCCTCTCTAGACCACTTTTCTCTGAATAAAAATTAGCCATTCAGAAATCTCAGCCTGAAGCTGATTAAGGTTCAGGACTGTTCTCCAGGTCAGGGTGAGAGCTGCAGGAACAGAAGAGAGAATGTATCTGTCAGAAGTGTAGCTACTTCATATTCTTATTTTCTTTGGTTATCTCACAGGTTTAGGACCTAAAGCTGCCACAAGACTAGCTGTTCTGGGTGCTATCTACCTTAGACTGGAATGGTATCTCCTGTCTTTTCAATTCAGTGGGCTTTGCTTTATATGCTGTGAGCGTAGCCCAAATCTTAGAACGATGCACTGTTTATGCACTACTAGAACAAATGTGCTCTGCCCTTTCCCAGGTCCCCAGAGATTAAAACTTCTGGTTGGTGAGTGCAAGACAGGGGGTGTTAGCAGGGAAGGCTGGGAGGTCCTTGACCTTAGCATCCATTCTTCTGCTTTTCTGGGGCTAGGGGATAGGCTGTGATGCTCATTTTAGCCTTCTGAGGAGCCAGCAGTAAGCTAAGGGCTTGTGTTTACAAGAAGAGATTTAGTATTTTATTTCAGCTTTGGTAACAAGTTCTTGACTTGGAGGTAGCAGCAGGTTCAGTTTATTTCTATATGCATCAGCAAACCAAAATAAAATGAGTTGAAGGATGCACATTGCCAAATTGCCCACTCTCTACCAACATACGTAACTGCAGCTAACTGAAAAAAGACAAAGCTATTAATGTTTTGCATTTTAAACTAGAGAACTTCAGTTTCATACTTAGTTGAAAGCTTTTGAAATCAGCACCAATCTCACTGTATAAATCACTGCCACCTGGTCATTCACCACTCCTATGTCTTTTTGTGAATAAAACAAGGAGATTCCTGATGCTCTCCGTGTTTACAATGACAACTGAAAGGTAAGAATGAACAGCCATTAGCAGATAAATTACTTAACAGTAGTCAATGAACAAATACACTTCATCTGTATAAAGCAGTATGTTAATTCACAAGTTGTATTGATAGGGGGGGTGGCAATATACAATGAAAATATTAAAGTATCATCACTTGAAAAATAGTCTTGCTTTGTCAGGGAGCTCTGTTTATACATGAGGGTAAATGAAACAGCACTGACCATAGAGGCTGAACAGTCATGCATACACAAAGTGATCACTTTTCAGCTATTGCACAGGTAGTGACACTCTAAGACATACACAGGAGGATTCTTACAAAATGACATCAGAAAGGCTGCATGCACCATCTTTCAAGGCCTTATGTGAACCATACATACACAAGAGTTGCTGTATACTGTAAATACATTGTGGATGTGTATAAATTCACATAAGATTAAAAGATTAATTTATAAATAGGAAAGTTTCCACCAGCTTATGTTTATTTTATTCAGAAGGTTTCTTAGCATGTACACTATTTAGGATAAAATGCATGACACCACTTCAGAGTAGAGGTTTCATGTAAGCATAATCTTAAATGCTTTGGTAACTGGATATTCTCAAGGAACAGGTTTTGTTAAACCAAACTGGTTACTAAAATGTGACTGTGACTTTTATTCAGAAAAGAAGGATATAGAATATGGCTAATAATTTCACATATTTTCACAAGATAAAAAAAAAACCTTTTCAAGTGATTGGGATTTCCAAGCACAAATAAAACCCCTGATGGCATGGTGTACAACATTTAAAACCCTGATCAAAATGACTTCAGAATAGTTGTGCATTCCCCAAATGTATCAGGTTGGCAACTGAGGAAGGAAGTGAAATATTAAATTGATAAGTTGGCATAAGAGGGGTAAATTCTCTTTGTGCCATAAGTTTCATAAGAAAATACTGCTGTATGTTTTAATTTTAGACACAAGCATTTTTATATCAGAGTCTGGTTTGTTTCTAAATGACTGAAAGTTTCAACTAAAAAGGTGTTTACACAATATACACATTTCATTACTTACAAAGAGAAATAAGCTTAAAATTTCATATTAAGAACCTGGGATACAGTAGGGTTAGTAGCACCATGAAAAATGTTTTTCAAAACTGCAGTCTTGTTACTTTAAACATACTCAGTGCATCGTGTTTTTCTTTATTCTCTTGGTTGATCAAAAAGGTGCCATTTTGGTACAGGGAGAGAAATGAAAAATTTCATCTTCTGATCCTTTGTGAACCTCAAGTGTTCTTTTCTGTTTCCAAGAGGTCAATTCTTTCATCTTAGTCCTGTCGTCAAATACGTACCAAACAATCCTTAGTCTGGCACATGAGTGAGGTACACTTGAATTTGCATGGTTAAACCAGTTTGGATTCATTTTTTCTTTTTTTTTTTTTTTTTCTGCACAGTAGCACCATTGTTGCAGCTGGAAGACAGTGCATCTTAGGAATTTTCAACTGTTTTATAAAACATTCTCCAAGACGTTACGTCTTCTTCATGCAAACTTGACAACGACTAATACGCGTCCTCAAGTCTCCAGCTTTCAGTGTCTCTGACTGAGGTTTACTGGTTGACAGACACAAAGGTAAGGTTAGGTTAGCTTTTTCTTTGTTTAGAGAACTTTAAAGTACTACTTAATTCACAGTTTAAGATAACTCTTAAGTACGTAAATGGGGAATTAGTGCTGTATTTGAGAACTTTCCTTAAGAGTGATCTTTCTATGTCTTCAACACCAGGTGACAGGTGCTCAGTTTTGTCCAGTCTCTCAGGATACACAAGGTATGCTAATCAACTGCTTCAGTCTAGCAGATGATGTAGCACAAGTACCAAACCAAGGGGAAGGTGAATTTTGTACAGTTGAGACAGTAGTTCCGGGGTCTGTCTTTGTAGCCTTGGGGTTTCTCAGTTGAAGGGTACTTTAAAAACCCATAAAAAATACTGCTACAGTGAGATTTGTATTTAAGTGATGGCTTTACCAAATAATTTATTTATATTCTGAAAGGGTAGGAAGGTGGGAGATAAATATAGGGTATTTGTGTAATACACATAGAGTAAGTCCAATTCTTAGGGTTTCTTTTAAAAAAACAGAATTAAAAACGGAGGTTGTGTTTATGGGAGATAAGAAAATATTAGAGACAGACAACTCAAAGGTGCATTTTCATTAGTGAATTACTGATGAATTACCACTGATCAGCTACTCTGAAAACTGAAGTGATGACTGTTTAATGCACATTAAGTATCACGGTTGTAGGTGTTACACAAAACCAACTTACAGGCCGCTGCTGCTTTGTACCACAGTGCACATTACCAGCCGTGTACCACAAAGCTACATTTTTCAATTCAGTGGCATTGGGATTATTTATGGGATCTTTATCAGTACACAAAGAGGGCAGTAGCAATTTATTCTATGAAAAGAGATGATTTTTCAAAGAAAAAAATATTTTGCTACTCAAGTTGAAAGGGAAAGAAGTTTGAGAAGCTGAGACTCCAGCTTGAAGTGCTGACTGCAGAGAAGCTGAGGACAGATCATCCACTGGCTTCCTTGCCACCAAAATATCATCCTAATTCTTCTGCAAAGTACTGGAAAAAACACTCGCTGTGGAGGGTATGAAACCTTCACACAAGACTTTTAAAACCAGGTTATACGAACATCTTCCTTACAAGGGACAGGCATGAAGAGCAAGATCAACTCTACTTAAACCTTTTATGTCTGTAAACTACCTTTTCAAATATTTGACTCTATTGAAAGGCCTGGCAAGAAAAAAACAACCAAAATGGATCTTTTAGCTCCAAACAGACTAACTACAGTAGGACTACTTTTGGAGAAAGTACTACTAAATGTGAGTAAGAATTGACATAAAAAGAATTCAACTCCTCGCAAAACAGACTGTGCCCCTAGCAAGTTTTTACATAATATTAAAGGCTTACCAAGGAAACACTTGAAAAACTGGTTCTGAGGGGAAAACAAACGGAATCATT